TGGTGTCACTGTCCTTGGTTTTTTCTCTCACATTCACCTCTGTGCTGTGCACACTGAGTTTTCACAGTGAAACAGGAGAGCAGTTCTCTTCTGACTCCTTCTCAGGCTAAGATGTTCATTTTTATTTGTTCCAATTTGTAAATTCAACTCATTGAGCCACACAAAAGGCCTGATGTCTACAGGGACCTTGCCACCTCCGTGCTCAGAGCACACTGAATCTCTGGCATCTGACACAGAGCAGTTTCCCTCCTCTCGGTGATCACCAGACCTTTCTCCATGCCTTCTACCCAAAGGTAAAGGGCTGGCATGGCTACACAGTGCACCCACGAGAGTCTGACAGCGACTGGCTGCCTGTTGCACTCATTTTTTGGTTTCCTGGAAAACAGTCCATGCTTAATATTTTAAACCAACTATCTAAAAAGGGACAGTAAGTCTCCCCAGACCCTAAGACTGCTCTGCAGAGGCAACTAGCACTGATATTCCCTGTGTCTTTTGTTGAAACTTTTGTCGAAAAAAATTTTTAATAGCCTCTCTTTTTTTAATTCCATGTACATTGGTGATTTGCCTGCATATATGTCTGTGTGAGGGTGTCAGATCCTTGAAACTGGGGTACAGACAATTGTGAGCTGCCATGTGGGTGCTGGGATTTGAACCCAGGTCCTCTGGAAGAGGAGTCTTAACCACTGAGCCATCTCTCTAGGCCCCTTGTTTAAAATTTTTAAATATGCCAGGCAGTGGCGGTGTACACCTTTAATCCCAGCACTTGGGAGGCAGAGTCAGAGGGAGTTTGAGTCCAGTCTGGTCTACAGAGTGAGTTCTAAGACAGGCACCAAAGCTACACAGAGAAACCCTGTCTTGAAAAACAAAAAATAATTTTTTTAAATGTTATGTATGAGCCGGGCGGTGGTGGCGCACTCCTTTAATCCCAGCACTTGGGAGGCAGAGGCAGGAGGATCTCTGTGAGTTCGAGACCAGCCTGGTCTACAAGAGCTAGTTCCAGGACAGGCTCCAAAACCACAGAGAAACCCTGTCTCAAAAAACCCAAAAAAAATGTTATGTATGTATTTATTTGTAGGTAGTTTTCTTTCCCACCAAGTTCCCAAATAACCAACAGGGAGACTTAATTTAGATATTCAGCCAATAGCTCAGGCTTATTACTAACTAGCTCTTACAATTTAAATTAACCCATTTCTATTAATCTATGTATTACTATCCTCCCTATGTCCCCTGGTGACTCCTAGACTCCTCCCTTCTCCCCAGTGTCCTTAGTGTGGTTTTCCTTCCTAACCTTATCTCGTCCAGCTATTTTCAAGTCAGCTTCCTTGTTAACCCAATCACAGCAACATGTATTCACACAGTGTAAAGGAATGTTCTACATTTATTTTTTCCACAGATAGAGTTATATATCACATACTAGAATATTTGTAAAATGTGTTTTGGGTATTTCTAAGTCAATACATGAAGAACTACCTCATATTTTATGCTTTGAGTATTATAATATTCTTTTGTGGGGTTTTAAATATTTAATTATTGTTGAAAAAGGAAAACAACAAAAAAGATATATATATATATGTCTCTGTGTGGGTGTGTGCACATGAGTAAGCAGAAGGTATGGGGAGCTAGAGTCCTTCTCCATCTTTCTCTGCCCATTAGCTTCAAGGCATAGTCTTTCCCTGTGCCCAGGGCTCTCGTTTTTGTCAGTGAACCTGGAAACTAGCAAGCCCTAGGGACTCTCCTATTCCACCCCACTCAGAGCTGGGGTCCTAGATATGCACAGGTCACCCAGCTTGTTACATGGGTACTATGTAGGAATGGTTTTCAGGGGGGTTTTGTTTTATTTTGTTTTCCAGACTCCATTTTCCCAAGGATACATTGAGTTGCATTGCTTGGGTGTGATGTCTCCCCAGGTTGGATGGTGGTTGGAGGCTGAAGGTGTTGGTAGTTTTTGCTGGCTCTTGCTCATCCATCATGTTAATACACAAGCTGAAAGATGGTTCCTTTCTGTCTTCTGGTACCAGCTCCTCTGCCTTTACCAGTCGTGCTGGGATCGAGAGGGCCTGGAGAAGAAAGCACAGATGCAGGGCCTCAGCTCTGATTAATAGGGAGAACAGAGCCCAGCCATTGGTTGGGCCCTTGAGGGAGTTTACATAAAATCATTGGTTTTGGTTAAGCTTTTTTTTCCCGAGACAGGGTTTCTCTATAGCTTTGGAGCCTGTCCTGGAACTAGCTCTTGTAGACCAGGCTGGTCTCGAACTCACAGAGATCCACCTGCCTCTGCCTCCTAAGTGCTGGGGGATTAAAGGCGTGCGCCACCACCGCCCGGCTATTTATTATGTTTTTCTGCAGGCGTTAGGGAAGCTGGGAGGAACAATATGTAAAAATTTTAAGTTGGTTTAGCAAATTAATCCTGAGCAGTTGATCCCTTATTTTTCCTTGTTTATGTATTTGATTTTTGAGTAATAAATGGGGCACTAATTATGAGAGACATGAATTTCTCAAAGTTGGCAAAAGGAGCTAAAAGTTTTAGATATGTAAGCAGGACCACTGTCGATTTCCATCCATTTTTGGACTATCCATTACAGAGAAAGCAGTGTCTGCAAACAGCTGAAGCAGACGTGTGTGTCTGAGCCATAGAAGAGATAAAGTCTGAAGAGGCACAAAACAGGAACAGATGTAAAACAATCAAAGGAATATATGTGGGTTAGATCCATTTGCCAGAGGTCATCAGAATGAAGACCACAGGAGTTGACAGTGGTTGAGCTTGTATCTGTGCTAATTGGAATTGTTTGATAGAACTCTGACTTCTTGATAAAAGGAGTGAGAAGCAGCAGCTGCTGAAAGAGACACGACTCCCACCATGTCTGATGTATGCCTTACATATAGGATGTGTACTGACTGGGGAAAAGATACATGGGAAGTATTTGGGTTTTGATTTTTTTTTAATCTGTACTGGAACCCATACTCTTGTCATCATGATTGCACAGCGTGGAATGGCACTAATCCCTGAGCCATCTCTCCTGCTTTCCCACTTGACTTCCTAGTCAAGAGAGTCTGTCCCATGGCTGTCTTCTGCAGTGTTTACCCTGCAACCTTTGCCACTTGTTTATTAGTTTGTGTTCTGTTGCTGTGATAAAAGCCATGCTCAAGGCAGCTTACAGAAGGAAGGGTTTATTTGGGCTTACATCTCCTGAGGGGTAAGAGTCCTTCACCATCGCAGCGGGGAATGTGCTAGCCAGCGAGTGGTGACAGGAACAGCTGAGAGCTCACCTCTGGAACTGCAAGCAAGAAACAGAGAGAGTGAGCTGGAATGGCACACAGCTTTGAAACCTCAAGGCTCACCCCCAGTAGCATACTTTCTCCAGCAACACCACACCTCCTAAGCTTGCCAAATAGTGCTGCCAACTAGGGACCAAATATTCCATTCTCTGAGCCTAGTGGGGACATTCTCATTCAAACCATCACAGTTTCATTTTTGAAACAGTGTTTGATTAGTTAGCCCAGACTAGCTTAGAGCTCAGAGATTCACCCGTCTCTGTCTCCCAAATCTTAGATTTAAAGGTATGTGCCACCGTACCTCACATCTACCTTATTATTTTGGAGACAAGTCACTGACCCTAGAGTTGCCAGTTTGGGTAGGCTGACCAGTGAGCCTCAGGGAACCCACCACCCGTCTCCACCTCCCAGCTCTGGGATTACAGATGTGTATGTACCACTGCACTGTAGTAGTTGGGTTTTTTGTTTTTGTTTTGTCTAAGGATCAAACACAGGGCCTTATGTTTGTGGGGCAAGCACTATCCACTAATCCATCTCTCTCTGCTTTAGCCACCTGAGAGTTGTCAGCCAACTGTGTTATGCCAGCAACTCTGAAGGATGCACTGAGCATTTGCATGCTGATCTGAGATCACTTCCACCATTGGCCATGGTGCTGGCTTTGAGTTTAGACATTCTTTTTCAATATCAGTTTAAATAATTTATTTTCCTAAGGACATTTATCAAAAGGATTACCAAATGCCTTCTAGTACAAATACCCATTTCTCCCCTCCTCCCCACTTGACTGATTATGGTTTATGTAGTTGATTCTTGTGTGGCAGGAATAAATGTGTGGTCCCTCTGAAGCTGGCAGCAGCCTGCCTGAGTACAGTCCTGCTTTCCCTGAGCAACTGCTTGATGGGACACTTGTTAATGAAAGGCTTCAGATTCAACTGAGGCCCCAGTGTGCAGCAGCTCGCATGTGTGTCTGTCCACCAGCTCCGTTCTCTCCACACTGTGTAGAGGAAGATAGTGAACACAAAGAGGTTGTCCCGTACCTCTAGTGTGGATGTTGACATCATCAGGTGCCCAGACCATGCCAGTGGGTTGCAGTATCCACTGAGAAACAGCTCCCATGGGTGGCTTAAGGGGTATCATCCCATCTTGGGATGGTTTAAAGATTAAGTGCTCTTTGGAAAAATAGTTGGGGCCTGGAAAAGTGGCTCCGCTGTTAAGAACACTGGCTGCTCTTCCAAAGGACCTGGTTTCAGTTCCCAGCACCCATATGGCAGCTTACAACTGTAACTCCAATTCCAGAGATTCTGCAGGCACTGCATGCATGTGAAACACCTTATACCTAAAATAAAAATAATTAAAAAAAAAAAGAAAGGAAGAAAAACTGAACCTCTGAGAGCCTCATCTGGAAAATGAAGCTTGGTCCTTTTTTGACCTGACAGTGTGAGGTTGAGGCCTCTATATTTTGTTGTTGTTGTTGGTTTTTGGTTTTTGGTTGTTTTTTTTTTTTTTGAGCAACTATGTTAATTGCTTCTGGTTTCCTGAAGCCATAAAGGAGTCCATACTTAACAACATTGGCTTCTGTACCCACTAGGGAACTAGGCCTGTTTCCTGGACCAGACTCACTAACTTCCTCTGTCCTTGTGTGTGACACCACACTCTGGTGTCCTGTGGTAGCTGCTTTCTACTGGGACCACAGGTCCTGACATGTGCCTCATACTCTGTTCCGTTCCTAGGTTTGTCAGCCACTGCAAGAACAGGGCCAGTGGACTCCTCCATCATACTGCAGCCAGAATGGACGCAGCTCCCTAGTGCACACTGCTCCAGCCGCCCCCTGGAAGACAGCAGCACCCCTGCCAGCCCTGCCAGACTGTCTGTCCAGGTTCATACATAGTAACACAGACTGCTCTGTAGTGTGTGTCTCCTTTCCAGCTGCTGATGTCAGGGGGTCAGTACAGATAGAAATGGCTTTGTGTATTCTGTTGGGGTTATTTTGAAGAAAATTATGTTACAATTGTTTTTTCTTGTAAATAAAACACATTGTTGTCCTAGCAGTATGAAGTGCAGATTCATTGTGTGAATTGCACTCAACTCCTAAGTCTGTGATGAGGCAAAGGGAAGCCATTTGCAGGAAGTAGTGAGAAGGAATTAGATCTGTTGACTAGAGCCACAGGTTCTCCAGTCACCTTACGGAGGAGCTCCTGGTACCTCTCTGTGGGGAGTGTGGGCGGACAAGTTCATTGGAAACTGGAAGCCAGTTTTAGTCTTCTGCTGGACCCCTAGAGTCTTCCCCCATGTCCTGTGCTTCCTCCTGGGGTGAAACGTAGGTGCCCCTCCCTCTCAGAGGCCTTGCTGCCACTGCCCTTCCTTTCCCAGCAGCTTAGACTGCACTCACTCTTAACCTGAGTGACCGGCCTCCACTTTGCAGCTTGGAAGCAAACTTTGGTGCCTCTACTCAGCTAGATTTCTGTGACCTGCCACCTAGCTAGGTCTCCCTGGGTTCTCAGGAAGAGCCTCCCTTTCGTCCTCTCCTAACCTCCTACCACTGAAAAGCCACCCAAGGGCATTCCTGTCCTGAAGACACTTCAAGGGAAGGACCTGTGGAGGCCACATACCCGCTGGAGGGCTAGTGTCCCCCCTGATGCAAACAAAGGCCCTGGCTATGCCCCCCATCTGCCAGCAGCTCATTCTCTAGAACCAGGCTGGCCTCTGCCTGGAGAAGACAGTACATGCTGAGAACTGGGACAAGAGAACTTCTCAGCAGTTCATTCCTAGATATTCCTGATGCTGCCATCAGGACAGCCTCAGGACAGAGCTACAAGAGGCCCTGAGAACCTGGCCAACACCCCCAAACCTCTGTCTTCCTATCCTGATTGGCAATTTGCCTGCATTTACAATCACCTAGGAGCCTACATGCACACACAAAATAAATGTTTAAAAATGGGGGATGCAGCTATGGCAGTACACACCTTTAATCCTAGTGCTTCAAAAGCAGAGGCAGGCAGGTCTCTGGGTTTGAGGCCAGCCTGGTCTACATAGCGAGTTCCAGGCCAGCCAGGGTTATACCATGAGACCCTGTTTCCAAAGGAGTTGGGGCCGGAGCAATGGCTCAGTTAAGAGGGAGTACTGCTCTTGCAGAGGACCCCAAGTTCCCTTCCCATCACCCATGTCAAGTACCTCACAGCCACCTGTGACTCCATCTAGCTCCCAGGGATCCACCACCCTCTGAGGCATCTGCAGGCACCTTGCACTCACATACACACAGAGACACATAAAGTAAGGTTTAAAAATAGTAAGAACACACACTCTGCAGCCCAGCATTGCCGTTTCTAGGGTTCCCTAAAACAGTGACACGGACTAACAGGGTGTTCATGCTATATCGTTGTTACTGTTGGAATGTGTCTTTTTGGTGAAAAGGCCTCTGTGTTGAGGTCTTGGTCCCCAGCTTACGCACCGCTGAGAGGGACTTGATCATGAGGGCACCGATTCATCCATGCTAACACACTGAGGCCCTCAGATAGTGAGCTGCAGGAGGTGGGGCCTGGAAGAGGTCGCTGCAGGAATATCTTGCCCTGCCCCTTCCTCTTCTCTCTGGTCACCAGTGATAGCAGCTTTGTTGCATCCTGCCATCCAGCTGCCATGACATTTTGCCTCCCCCAGGCCCACCTGACCATGCAGAGACCTCTGGGATCTGAGCAGATGTCACCCTTTCGTCTTTGTGTTTCTGTCGGGCATTTTGTCACAGTGATGAAAGGCCAGCTCAGCCATGACTGATGAGCGATAAAACAGAAAAGAACTGAAGTCCTTCAGAGGAACTGGGAAAAGAAATCACAGCAGGGCCACCCCCGAGAGCATTTTGCCGCTGTTAAAGAAGCGTGTGTAGCACCTGCTATAGGTGACCTTGTGACTTTCTTCCTGAATTCAGCAGGGTGGTCCACAGCAGATGCCCCCAGAGAAGCGCTTCAATAAGCCCTGCGAGGCCTCCTGTGTCATGCTACCCTGACATGAGCTACCCCTCTGATGTCTGAATAGCCGAGCATCAAGGCTGTCCAGCACAATCAAGGTAGTTTTGTTACAATTCATGAACTAATAGTGTTTTCTCTCTTTTATTTCCTCGTTTTTGTTGGCTATTTATTATTTGAGACAGGATCTTGCTATGCAATAGGCCTTGAACTCCTGGATTCTAGGCAGGGGCTCTACCACTGAGCCACACCCTGGCCCCTCACTGGAGGATTCTAGGCAACTTTTCTTTTCTTTTTTTTTTTTTTTTTTTGTTTTTTGTTTTTTGTTTTTTCGAGACAGGGTTTCGCTGTGGCTTTGGAGCCTGTCCTGGAACTAGCTTTGTAGACCAGGCTGGTCTCGAACTCACAGAGATCCGCCTGCCTCTGCCTCCCGAGTGCTGGGATTAAAGGCGTGTGCCACCATCGCCCGGCTCTAGGCAACTTTTCTATGACTAAGTTACATCTTAGCCCTCTTTATACTTCCTGTTGTTAGGCAGGGTCTCACTGAGTTGCCCAGGCTGGCCTAGAACTCACTCTTTAGCCAAGATAGGACTTAAGAGCCTCCTGTCTCAGGCGTCCAGGAGCAGGGTTAACAGGTGTGCCCACCATCTCCAGCTGTGCTCTTTGGTTCAGGTGGGTTCCAGGGCTTTGCTCTCTCCTTTCTAACTCCCAGCACTGATGACTGAGATACTTCACCCATCTGTCTCAGCATGCTGTCTCCGGTCACCTGTCCCTTCCTGTGGGCAGCTGGCCCCATGCTTCACGTGTTCTTACAAATCGTGCCCATGTGAATGCCACATAGCCGGACTTCCTGATGGGTAGTGTGGGAACAAATGATGGCCCTTGCCACCTATGAGCAACCTGAGCCCTGGGCTCAGCTGTGCTCCTCAGCTCAGCCCGCCACCGCTGTGGGGCCACTGGCAGGATCCACAGTCACTAGGATGGAAAAGCCCAGCTTAGAGATAACCAGACACTTCCAGAACCATCTTCCTTGTCAGACACAGTAGCATGATCCTCTCTTGGATTCTGCTCTACCCACAGTGGAATGAATCCCCAGGGTTTCTTCAAAATTAGTCCCTGCATGCTGGAGAGATGGCTCAGACATTAAAGGCTAGACTCGCAATCGAAATTAGTCCATGAGTCCCAGTGAAGGAAGGACTTGTGTCAGGTGACACTGGGCCTGAGGTAAGTGCAAGGGGTTAATTTTGAACACACACTCTCCCAACATTTTATACTGAGTCAGATCCCAGCTTCTAATTGAACAAGGATCCTAAAACTCCACATATAAAGCCAGTTGCTGGGTTTGTTCAGTGCTGGGCACTAAAGCCAGGGCCTTTGCATGTTAGGAAATACCTACAGGTAAGCTCCATGTCCAGCCCTCTTCCCTTTTTGTAAGTCTCATGTGCCCAGATTAGCCTCAAACTTTCTGCCTCCCACCCCAGTCTCTTTCAAAAACAGGATTTGAGGGGCTATGAGCTAGCAAGAGGGTAAAAGCACCTGTATGTGGTCAAGCCTGCTCACCCGAGTTCCAGCCGCAGGATCAGCGTGGGGAAGGAGCAACTCCTGTGAGTTGTCCTCTGCCCCCCAACATGAAATACAAGGCCATGCAGGCACACACACACACACACACACACACACACACACAGAGAGAGAGAGAGAGAGAGAGAGAGAGAGAGAGAGAGAGAGAGAGAGAGAGAGAGAGAGAGAGAAAGGACTTGAGTTCCCTGGACCTAATTGACTCATGCTGAGCGCATCAAGCGATAGGGGGCGACATAGCTCACTTCGTGCCATCTGCTCCAGCCAGTGGCCACTGGGATATTACATCACAGGAGGTAAATTGCTGACATTAGAGCCCTGCAGTCAGCGGGACAGGTCCTCAGCACACGGCTACAGGGGCGGGAGGGGATCTAAGGAGGGGTGTAATCCAGGGGACCTGAAGATGGCAACAGAGGCTAGCGGGACACAAGGCACAGTGTAACCTGACCCCAGTGAACCCCTCCCTCCACAGACTTAGCGGATCCCCTTTCTCCAGCCAAAACCAGACAGGGGCTCATTCCTCCAGCACTCTATTTCTGATACAGGGTCTCACGACATAACCCCGGCTGTCCTGGAACTCACTCTGTAGACTAGGCTGGCCTCGAACTCAGAGATCCACCTGCCTCTGCCTGCAGAATGCAGGCACTAAAGGTGTCTGCCACCACACCTGGCCCCATCTTATTCTTGAGACAGAGTCTCTCACTGAGCCTAAAATTCATGGCTTTGGGTAGACTGGCTGGCCAGTACAGTCCTGGGATTGACCTCTCTGCCTCCCCAGTGCTGGGGCTACAGGCACAACAAGCCACTGTGGCTAGCATTTTTGCATAGGACTCAAACTCAGGTCCTCACGATTGTGTGACAAAAAGCACTGTGCAAACTGAGCCTCTTTCTAGGAAAAGCCCCTTGTCGCTCATAAGACCTGTGTTAAAACTCTGTCTTGAAAAGTCCCAGCAAAGGAGCCTTGGCCTCCTTCCCAGCACAATTGAAGGGAAGAAGGATGGGGACAGCAGAGATTTAACCAGTGTTTATGTCTGGGAGAGAGACAGAGAAAGGGCCTCTCCGTGTGTCTTCATGACCCCCAGACCGTCCTTAGGGTACTGACATGAACTTTAGGTTTAAGCAGAGAAAGAATGGGGGGGGGCGGTAACACACATGTGTGATTACACAGACCTGGTCCAAGCACAGTCTGGTTGATGGCTGCCTCAGGTCTTCAAGGTGAGGTGATCCAGAGAAACCTTTAGTGTTTGAGGGACACACTGGTTCAGGTGACTGCCTCTGCTTCGAAGGTGATCTCATCTTTAAAGCTCTGCTTTCCCTGGAATCCAAGGAGATGGCAGACTTGGACAGTAACTGGAGGACCTCAGATGTCTTTGGGGGTT